TCATAAAGCAGGGGATGGAGCTGACAAGGGTCACACCGAGGAGGGAAGCGGACACCCGGCTCTAGCAACTGAATTAAAACTCCCAGTGCTGCTCACTTCAAAACAGGGTCCCTACCAGGCTGGAGAATTTTCATACAAACTGTTCTTTGACTTTGGGTGTCACATATATTACAGAACAGCTCGTTTTCAGAACACAAGAAATCAGCCAAATACTAAAATAATAGTCAAACTGCCATCACTCGAGTAAGGTTTCCTTGCAAACAAAGTGAACATATTGAAAACATGGCCTCCATCTCAGTTTTCACTAAGTCCTTGGGAAGAAATGCAGGCTCTGACCCATGCTGCACTACAAGATTCTTCACGTTTGCAAGACAAACAGTAGTAGAAAGACTGAACAGTATTATTTTACTAGTACAGCTTGATATCTGCATCAGAAAGGGATGATTCTTGAAAAACTTCTGGTCAACACACACAAAAAAAAAATACCTCCTCTTTGTTATTTGATAACACAGATGCTTATATACACAAAGTGATCATCCTTAAAAACAATAAAACCCAACCACAAACCCACACGAGAACCACAGTTATTTCCTACTCTATTTATAGGAGAGAACTGTGGTGTTGGTTCAGCCTACATTCCTTTCCGTTGCTCCAAATTCTTGTCTTGGGTGTCCCACAACTTCCCCAGGCTCAGCATGGAAAGATGAGAGTCTGCTTCATCCCCCTACGGATGCCCCCATCCTCTTCCCTTCAGCACCGACAGCTTTGCTACCGCTCCGCTCCTTCAGGCCTCGGTAACGAGGGTAATGTGCTATCACTTCTCAGACTTTCACAGCTAACATTTTAGTTCTTTCTAGAGTATCATAATCTGTGATTTTTTTTTTAATGTTGAACCTTGGAAAAAATAAATTTATTTTCTCATTAGTCTTTTCTTTTTCTCCTTAAATATATAGAGAGATATGTCTTATCTCTTTCCACTGCCACATTCAGTATTTCTTACCTTTACATTCAAGGTGGGAAAAACCCTCTACTTCTCCTATAAGTTACCTTGCTGCTACTTCTGCCTCTTCTTCCAGTCCCATCTTCAGTTGTGTTTCAACTGTTGCCTGTGTCTGCCAACACATCCCTTCACTGGCAAGCATCTCCTCTCTTCTTTGTCTTCAAGTCTACATTTTAAAAATTAACTTTCTTTACTTGGCTCTCTCCCCAGTCACTTCTAGTCTATCTGATAGGGATCTTCTCTTTCCTTCACCTCGATCTCCACTTTAATGCTCTGATCTTTCAAACATCTTGTCCTTTGCTGCCTTCTTATATCATTTAATCTTTACCATTATCTCATCTGTTATGATTTATCACTTCCATGTAATAGGTAACACAACCACCTCTCTCTCCCCCCTCCTTGCAGTGCCATGCAAAAAGCATACGTTAATGTACAAGATAATAAAATGCTCAGCTCTCGCACTGTGCCAAAACATTGCTGTGAAACTGCCTTGAAAAACTGTGACCATTTTACACAACGTATTTCCTCACAGACAGCACACAGCCCCTATAGAGCAAGATTTCTGCAGACTGCCATTACAGCCAGACTTGATACACAACATGTAACAACTCACTTAAGTACTCTATTTTTTGTTTGTTTACTTTATCATTTTACAAATAGAAGTGAACCCTTTTATGATGGGTAACCTTCAGCACTTGCAAAGGCACCCCCATCAGTAAGAATCGTCTATGCTACCTATAAAGGAATGGACTAAACAGTACCTCCTATATGGTCTGGATTCTGCAGGATGCCAAATGTTGAGCTCTAATATCATCCCCAAAACAAGAGGCAAATTGAAAGGAAAAAAAAAAAAAAGAAAGAAAGAGATCCCTGTTTTTCTATAACCAAACAATACTGGCAGAGGTAGCCCTACTCGGGTTTATCGACCTCAGTCTTTTTTTCAGGAGCGTGTAGAAGAGGAAACTGGTCTTGCTTTACCCTCCTTTACCCTGTTCTCAAGAACCACGCCAATATTTTCTTGAGCTTCATTCTAAAAACCTAAATGCAGTTGTGGTGACAGTCTCCAAATCTTCTTGGTCCCAGAGCCTGTGCTCCACATAACTACATCCTCTATTAAGCACAGGATTTTCTGCATGCCAGCTGGAACTAATCATCACAATTACAGGCTTTTGTTTAGAGGAATATTTACAGTACCAAAACATAGAGGTTTGGAAAAAAAAAAAAACCTGAAACAGGTCTTATGCAGAGGACAAGACAGAGAATAGATTATATAAAAGCCAGCCAACTCTTATCTGGAGCAAAGGAAGACAGGGATACTCCCCGCAGCAGAGAAGCCCGGACAAGATGACGAGGGGGGATAGGTTCTCACCTAGGTGATTTTTCATGGAGCCAGTGGGGGTCCTTGTCATGTCATTTCTGGCACGGGGACTAGGCGGATAAGCACTGATGGTCCCAAATGGTTCTGCAGTACTAAACTTAATTTGACAAGGCTTATTAGCACTGGCTTTGAGCCTGACAGACCCAAGCTGTCTCTAATTCTCAATTTGGGCAAGTTTGTATGATGTTCTCCAACACTGCAGCAATGGGAACAACAACGCAGAGAGACCTGATCTGGCTCTGTGTTGAGCTCTCTAAGGTTTGGCGGGCTTTACTGGCTTAGGACTGTGCCACATGGAAGCAAATATACTTGCTTTCACATCCCCTTTCATGGGCTTGGAAAACACAGATTTGCTCCAGCTTTCTAAGCTGATACATCTGGCTGGACGTGAGCTGGCTCTTCACAATTCAGCTCACATGTGTCTCTGCTCATGGCATCCTGAGTCTACAAATGAGATAACTGCCACAGGGGGATAGATGATAGTAGAAGGCTTCCCTCTAAACTCTGTTGTATTTCTATGTAATCGGCAAAGTTAAATCTTCATTTATGGTGCCCTCCCGCCCCCCCAGTCTACTCATCTGTGATGCCCACCTTACAGACACTACAATACAGATATGGGCACCTGTAACTGAAAGATTCCTTTGAAAAAAATAAGACTAGACATCACCTGGTTGAGTGTTTGAACTGACTGGATAGCCTTGCCTCTGCCACCTCTCTGAACCAGAAGTACCAGGCACAAACACCAGTTCCCACACTCTGGAAAATGTATTAAGAGGGAAGTGCATTAAAATGCAAAGGATGAAGACTGCCGTATCTTCAAACAAACAAACAAAACCACAGAAAAAACCAAACCCCTGTAACATATGCATTTTTCCTAGAACACAGGAGACCTGGAAAAGAGTTGTGTCCTCAAACACTGCAAGCAATTGGGTGAATACAACCTCTATGAAGATACACTAAAGATACTAAGGCAAAAACATAAGTAACATGATAGAGCGCTCTGTAAGCATGTGCACTTAATAAAAGCAAGCCGTAAGCATAATCCTCGTTTTTCTCATGTGAGGAAAGCCACTGGGGATGCCTAGCTCGGACTGATGCACTACATCTCACGGGCGGGGGACACAGTGCCCCTCACTCCACCCTCCCGAATGAGCACCCGGAATAACATCAGAGCCTCAGAGGCGGCAGCGCAGAGCAAACACTTCTTTCCAGCACTCTTCACGATTCCTGACCCAGCACATGCCCTCTGCATGCCTCTGCTTACAACCAGATCTGACTTCTATAAGCAACATCCCACTATCCAACAGAACGACGCCGTTCCTTCATTGAGAATAATGATTTAAAGCGACGTTTAGCTACATACAACAGCCTGGACTTTGTTATAGACTCCAGTCCTGAATGAAATTCAGTTCTTACGATACACTTGTGGAACATTAAATTATAGTAATTGTCAAAATTCCCTCAATTGTTTATACTCTAGACAGCTGCTGTGGCTACAGCAAGAATAGCAACCAACCTCTTCAAAGCAGTAAAAAGTGGCAATGATAAATCTTTTAGATGGCTTTCTCTTTACAGAGTGCTTGCTCCATCGGTTTAAGTAAGATTGCTAACTTCCAAGAAACAACAAAAAGGCAAAACAGAATAGCAGAACGCAGTGTGGTTTCTGACTTAAGATGGCAAACTCTCAGCAAATCTTTAATCTTCCCTTTAACTACGTGAGTGGTTGTGCTCAAGTTGCAGTTGTGGAGGTAGGGGGAGTTGGGAACAGAGTCATAACAATGAAAAACATTAAAATAGCTTCATACACACAACAGATATATTCATGCATCCCAAAGTGAGCATTTGCAATGCAAAGGGGAGATTTCAGAATTTGTATTGTAAAATGAGTTATTTCTCAAGACGCAGAATAGCCTTCTTCACAAGATCATACATTTTAAACACTCCTAGGATGCATTTTAAAAATCAGTTTCCTATTATTTGCGTTCTCAGTACAGTTCTGCCTATAATTTTAGCTTCACCAATACTCAGAGCAGACATACTCTTGAGGTACTATATGCTTTTAATTTTACTGCAGTAATTTTCGGTTCTTTGGTTTTAAATACTATGTACAAGCATGACAGAAAACAACTTCTTTTACAAATTAAAACTTATCAGTCAAAAACAAGTGGCATACACAAAACACCTTGAAGTTTGTAATTTGAAATTTTTTCATTTAGAGCGTTTTACTCATTTATTTTGTTTCTTTTCAAAGGACACAGGAACTTCTAATCCAACTTTAAAATAAATATCAAATTCTGCTTTTGCAATACTGCTGTGTCTATATAGAGGAACAAAATTCTATTTTTATACATTCCTGTTTAACAATGTGATATTTCAGAAATATAAAATACCAATGTAAGAATAATATTGATTCTAAGTATGTGATAAATGATAAGGCCTGATTCAACTACTGTGGAGTACAATGGGGCAAGAACTGTAATACTGAAGTTCTTCAGATTACACCATTGCTCTCACTACCACGAAAAACTAATTAAAAATTGCTGTTAAAAGTCTCAGACATTGAAGTCCCACACTCGATAATCAACCACGTACACACAAACAACAGACCACTTTACTGCTTACCATTTGAGACCTATTTTTGGGGCAGCCATTGATGTCTTCAATCTTTTCATTTGCTGAAAAGCAAGAAAGAGGAGATAAAGCAAAAAACTGTACCAAGGATGTTTATTCCAATTATTTCCAGAGCACTTGCTGCTAGCTAAGTAAAGGGGTTTCAGATTGTAGCTGTCCAGTTCAACTGAATGTGATACACTGAGACCCATCAAAAAAAAGCAGCTGGAGTTTTCTCGTGGGTCATGCCTCCAGAGACAGCTGGGGGCAGAAAACAACTGGTCTGACAACATCTTGTACGGTGATGGGTAACTCCTTTAAACTCCAAAAAAGATTCAAACTCTGGAAAGTGAATCACTGCTGGGTGAAAAAGTGAACACTATGTACATATAGATGCCTGCATGTCAATTAATTTGCTTGGAGAGTGAATATATATTTTAAATCTAGATGGGAAATTTACGATCAGTAACTCTAATTTTGTTTAATTTTTTTTTTTCTTAAAGCACAAACCACAAGACTACTTTTCAAGCTTCTTGTCCACGTCTTACATGCAACAGAACTTGCAGAAAAAGATATAGTTTCAATCTTGAAATAATTAAGTTGTTGAGGTGGTTAACTGTTTGCCTTAGAGTCTTAGTTTGCTCAGTTTCACATTTCAGTCTTGGACCCCAAAATGTGCTAGGCTGAAGAAACAGCTATAATCAAAGTTCAGATTCCCACAATTTTTTTCACTGTAATAAAGGTAGGCGTTCACATCCCATCTGATGAATCGAACAGATTCGCCTCCCATAGATTCTTATATTAAAAGCTTTATTTTTTTACCAGTCCCATATTCTCAGGACATCAGTCAGAACTCCATCTCATTTCATGTCTTTCTTCAGTCAGGAGTACCAAATTTGGCACAATATTCCAATAGCGGTCACAACAATGACAAACAAAGAAGTAATATAACTTCACTCTTGCCTGGTATCCCCCTTTTTGCACATCAAAGTGTCACAGTACGCCTTTATGCCACAGTAATGCATTTAAGAACTGATGCTAATCTGAAAAAGATTGCAGCTAAATCCACTGTACTGTTCCCCAGAGTGGTCTGTCAGCCTCTACACACAAAGAGCATACATTTCTTTCAGGAAAGCCATGTCAGATTTGGTCATACAGAAACAAAAATTGTTTCTTTAAATCCCATTTACAAATCCTGTGCACCCATCTCTTAATATGTACTACCTCTGAGTTTAGTATCATGCAATATCTTTATCAACTAAATTTGTAATACTTTAAAAAACTGATAGCTATATTCCTATAAATTTCCACCATTCATAATTATTACTTGAAAGGAGACTAACGAACTTCTGAATGAGCTTTCTCTTGTTTGGGACACGTGTACAGAGATACCTCTAATAACGCAGGTCATTTTGTTTATCGTCCTTAAAAAAAAGTAGGTTTTTCCCCAGTCCTCTAGAGCTTCCAAAATGTTAGACAATGTATTTAAAACCAAGATTAGCAAACCGCAAAGCTTATTACCTGGCTCTTTTTAAGCTCTTCTATCCAAACTACCTAGACTCACCTACTTGAAACTGCCTGAACTGTTAGTAACTTGTTTCCAAGGTTCTGCTGCAATATAGCATTTGACTTTTTCTGATTTTTTTTTACTAAGCAAATGTAGAACCAAAATATTTACTCAACTCTTCTACACTTTGTGGGTATTATACTACAGGCTTGGAGTACAAGCTTGGTTCTAGAGCTGTACACTAAAGGTTAACCCCATAACCCTATAAACTAACAAATATACTGTTCCATAACGTGGGAAAATTAACAGCAAATGAAGACACAAGCCACCTTAAATTTTTCCGTCAGGAGAAATTTACATCCAACACACGAGCTATTTGGGATGTTACCTCTTTATCCCCTTCCTTTTTTACACTGCGGCTATATTACCATTCCCACCTAGAAATTATTCCTTTTGTCCTCGTACCTTTCTACCAGCTTGCAAGATGTCATCAGCTATCCTTGTACTCTTCTGATCAACTTCAACTGATTTGTAGCTTACTTCACTACTATCTGTTTCCTGCATTTTCTTGTGCTCTACTTCCCACCACCCCCCCCTTTTTTTTTTTTTAAAAAGTTTTTCTCAAAAGCTATTTTAAACGAAGGAACTTTCCTTCTTGCTTGGGAACTTGCGTTTTTTGTCCACCCATTTTTTTTTTTTTTAAACAGTTTCTCTCAAAAGCTATGTTAAACGAAGGAACTTTCCCTCCTGCTTGGGAACCTGCAGTTTTTTGTCCACCCATTGATGATTCTTCATCAGTTCCCAATTACTCATCACTTCCTTTTATGCTGTTGGCCTTCTCTGCCACAGGTGATTTAGGATGTAGATGACCAGAAATGGTTGGCAGGATTTAGAAGAATAACAAGAACTGGAGTTTCTGGTCCATCAGGTGCTTTTTCTGCTTACCCCTGGGCAACCACCTTTCCCTGGGCAGGTTTATGCTCTACCTTTTCACCTTCTAATGCACTCCCAACTCACCTATGGCTCTTGGTTACTCCTCTCACTAGATTAACACAGTTATCATCCCTTCCCTGCTGGTGCAAGTGCTATGAAAAGCAGGTGGAACAGGTAGCAACCAGAAAAGCTGGTGGTGGGGCAAACTGGCAGCTGGGTTGAACTTTAACTCACACCTCTCTATTAAACCCAGCAGGGCAAGACCTCAGAGATTCAATCTAGGCTGGGGACATGCATCCAAGTGGCCCACAGGCATATTTGGCACTTTGCAGGAATCTGCCTAATTCACCAGGCAATTGTTTTGATGCTCCCATTCCTTGGCCGTAAGCTGGACCCTATCCTTGACCCTTCCACCTAGCTCCAAGGAACAGTTCTTGCAGCAGGTATGAAGCAAGTTGCCTGTCTTGCGGAGATGACTGGAAAGAAAGAGATAGCCGTGAATGAGATAACAATGCAGCGTGCCCATGGGCAGCGTGACGGTCCAGTTCACAGCACAAGTCACTGAATGCTACGGGATCTTGGAAATGCGTCCAGTTTCACAGCTGCAAAAGCACAGATTTCTGGCTCTGACAAATGGGCAACTCACAGCTACTGTTTCTATTTGCCACGGAGGAATACTACTTCAGTTAGCATAAACTGCAAGTCACGGGCAATCATAAAGGCTTTCAATTCTATCTCAGCCTTGAGCAAGATGGAAATTCACAACCACAAATGTGAAGCGCAGAGGATTTTTCCCAAACTGACTGCAAGTCCAAAGAGCTTTCCCCCATCACTTTTTCTTCATTGTGAATACAGTGAATTTGATTCAAATGCTTTTAAGTGTTCGCAGACTTTTCCCACTCATACACAGACTGAGGGGTGTAGAAAGGCAGACAGAAGAAATCAGCTGTGATCTATAATGAAAGTAGCAAGGAGTGACATTGTGCTTTCATTAGATGGATCCGAATCAAAGCTTGGAAAATGGTACCTAAAAGAATATTTGGGTTTATGTATTTTGACAGGAGGCATATTATGAAACTGCAAGCCAAAATTATATGAAAACACAAGTGAAAAGGAAACCCTAGCATCAAATGTTACAAAGAATTTTTTACATCTATCGGCCAGTCAGCTGTCGGTGTCCCATTCAAATAGGTACAGGTACACCTCCCTGGTGAAAAAAATCTTCAGCAAATGACATTCCATCAAGCAAGTCAAAAATTATAATCAGAACAAATCAAAAGCGTTTCAATAACCATCATACAGAACAACTGCACTGTTACAACTGCATTATTCAGTACTGCAGGCATACCCTTGGACATCAGATTACTTTTTCTTGAACGTATGAAGGAATATTGCTCAGCATAATTCCTATATTTGCATAGGAATTGTCACCTGCAGCTTTTAACTGAACAGCCACTCAAATATTAGTAAAATGAACCTTTGTGTAATGTCCCACCCGAAATATGATAGGAGTTATCACTAGAGAGTACTGCTAGGCTCGATCCCAAGATTTTTTGAAATATAAACCTGTAACCTTCCCCTGCAAATGCAACAGTACAATTTTCATGACAGCAGACAAAAGCTATACTGAGATAAGTCACAGTATGAATTTGAACTGGAATAGTTAAATGGAGTAATCACAAATGATTTTTTAAATTAGAGCAAAGACCTGTTCAGTTTAAGTCAGTGCAACTAATTTCAATCAGAACACAAGTTAACCAGAATATGTAGCTATACCTGTAAGATAAGCTATCTTGGCATATCGAAAGCATCTACACTAAACAACATGCCCATCACCTCCTGTAATGGTGTACTGATTGCCCAGCACAACGCTGATGGGCACATTTTCCTTCTTACTGAAACTACTTCTATTTAGCTGAATAAGTATTTGACACTAACGCAATGTCTGCATCCCTATTTATAAAGCTACAGATTTTGCATCTGATCTGACTTCGGTTATATCCACTTAATTAAAATATTCCATAAATATAGGCAACAGTAGGAAAAGTCCTATTGGACTGGGTTAAAGTTTATTGTTAGCATCGTTTCTAAGTCTTGAAAATTGAAGGTTCTCACAGGGAACCAGCTGACAATTTGATATATTACCAATTTCAGAGCATGCAGAGACCCAGTATATCTGCATTCATTAATTTAAATATAGCTATGCTTATATGGCATTACTAAGGCATATATTACTTACGTATTCTTTTATAAACTCATAAATTTTGAGCTGAAATACACCAGAATGCTATGAATGCATTTTAATTGACCTGCAAATAGAAAAAACTGTCATCATATAATGCTTCTATATTATCACTAGCAGTCTGAAGGATTATATCCTCTAAAGTCAAATGCAATGATGTTTGGTTTCATATCTTTTTAGATTTGCTCCTTGTTTGGATGGTAAGGTAAAAGAACTATCTAGTTCTTACTAATTTTAACATTTTCTTTTCCTAAATACACAGCTATTTTACTTAAGAAAGGTAAGCAGAAAGGACTGCGATCACTGTCTCTGTATAATCATTAACTCTTATGTAGTCTTCATTTAAAAAAAAAAAAACAAACCCACATTTTTTCTTTTTCCAGTTTTGGATATTAAGTAGTATTTCAAGATTCAACATCTGTGATGTAAATCTCAGATGGTGAACACAAGAAAAATTGTATTGCTAATCATTAAACCTGAATCAATTTTGATGACTTTGAATAAACTCCAGATACTCCAGGCACATGACAAAAAGGAGGAAGGATCTTCATGGCTGCTTTTACACGTAGCACACCGTAACATAAGAAAGAAAACCCCCTCCTACACTGCATATAGAAGCTTTCTTAGTATGCAGGCTTGTTTGTTAGGAAAAAAGTTTGTGTTTTGCAGGCTACAGTCAAAGCTGCTTCTAGGTGTGAAAGTTATCACCATCGTTGTGACAATGAGATGCAGCAACGCCTAAGGCCACACACAGCAGATACAAATGACTTTTTCTTCACTGTTATTGGAGGATTACACTGAGGATGTTTAAATATGAACTTTCTTTCACATAGAAAACATTCTCCGAAAATGAAATCCTTCACCTTGTACTTCAACTTTTGAAAGCTTGCGGATGCAATCTTAAATATTAGCCAAAAGGCAGCTCTAAGAATGGCTGAAAAAAATGCAAAGGTGAATCAAAGCAAAATACAGTAAGCGAGATTATTTCTGTGTATTTCAGAGGGAGTAATTTGAATTTCATAAGAGTTTTCACAAGTCAATACTCAAACAGCTACATATTTAGTACAACCAGGTTCACATTTTGATGCTGGTATTCTTACACACGTGTTCTCACACAGTTTTCTGCAACAGTGTTAACGTAGGGTAGCTAGGTATGGATGAAAGGAATCAACACTTAACTGTTCCTGGGTTTCAAAAAAATTTCCCTATTAAAGGGAACGGACATAGGACGAAGCATTGTTCATAGTGAATACCTGTCAACACACAATCAATTCATGGCCTGCTTTTATACATGTGTAGCTGCACGGCAGGTCTGTATAATGCTACCGAGATATAACGTTGCTCTACAACACAGAGACGAACTCTTTTTTTGATGTATTCCAGTGCGGCTCTAGTGGGATCATTGGAACGATGCCTCACAATTTCATCCGAGAAGAGGGCTTGCAGATTTGTACCTTAAATCAAGGAACTAGCTCATTTACAGGATCTCAAACACATATAAATATGCATGCACTGATGTCTTGTTACTTCACTGCTGTTGTCTTAATTTGCATCTCAAATCTGTCAGTTTGCTTCTAACAATAGTTGTCCTAATTCCCATTAGCAGGCTTTCTGATTCCATCAATCTCCACTGGCCCATGCATGTGTTTTGTGGCATCCCAAGTACCAGATGGATGAACCTCTGAAGGAACTAATGAAGGATCCAGGCCCAAGGGAAGAGAGAGAATATGCAGCTTTACATGGGGCCAATGGACAAAATTGTTTAGAATTTTCATTATCTAGGAATATTAGTGCAAACTGAGGGAACTAAATGCTTTGTAGAACTGAGACTATATTTAAGATTTGTCCTAATGATAAATGATCTTCCTCATTTGAAAACTTTCTTTTTTCTGCCACATAAAAATTATACCCCTTCTCCTCTCCTAGCTGCATATATGGATTTTCCAAATCCAACGGAAAGCAGGAGGTTCAACACAGTAGGCCAGTATCACTGTGAATTATGTTCAGACCAATCCCCAAAAGGGATCAGAAATAGAGACAGTGACAGCTAACAGCATCCTAGCAGAAAAAAAAAATCCCTCATCAGTTGCTTTTCTAACATTCAGCTGCGTCGAGTGATATCGCTGTGTCAGGAGACCTTATCAGCAACATCCAGTATTTTTCCACTATGCTTTAAGTCAAGGCTTTATCAAATTAATTAGCAAAGTCTCTGAAGGAAAATTATCTACGTAATTCCATGCAGTTTGACGGATTTCTCCTCCTGTGTTTACGTAGAAGATAAAGACAGTGCATTTCTGAGTGAGTTGATGGATACCTGGTACAAAAAGAGAAAGTCACTCACCTACAACCTGGATTATTTCAGCTAATAAGACTCCATCAGTCACATCTTGCTGTAGATCCTTTATCAATCTCTTGTGACCAGATTTTGCTAGATAGTGATTAGCCCAATCCGTATAAATCTGTTAGAAGAAAGATAAACAAACAGAAATTATTAGTTATAAAATCAACCTTAAAAATAAGAGTTCTTTGTTTCTCTCGGTATCCGAGAGGCTGATTTAAGATCACTGCTTTTTTGCTCTTTGAAACAAGTCAACAACATAAAAATTCAAGGCATTGTGCAGACCAAGCATTCAGCTTACTGTACTATGGCTTTTCCTATTCAGGAATCTGACATCAAAGCTCGCAGAAGACGATAGTAAACTCCTGAACATGTTACAGCTTGAACGGATCATCAGGCAGTCAACTAAGTGTTCCATGGCAGTAACAAGCGTGTAGGAGAGATCACAATTTCCACCCAACTATTTTTTTGCCTTTTCCCTTTGACATTCCTTCTCTATATCTGCTATTGAGAAATCTGAATGATTCTTTTCCAAGAACCACTTCTGGTAGATATTAGCCATATAGCAACTTCATTTTGAGGAAACTCCTTTGTTATATTACCCAACAAGCCTTTAAAGGTCTTAAAAATCTACCAATTCTAATAAATTCCATCTCACAGATTAATAGGCCTATTAAATTGATTTTCATCTCTCACACAAACTTCTAACTGTTGGGATTTATTTTAAAACGTATTACCTGAAAACTAGGCAAACAAAGCAGTCAAAATCTCTCTTTAATTTGCATTAAGCACTGCTCACCACATGCTAGCACAACTTATCCAAGAAAACCAGAAAACTTCTAAAATCTTTTCCTGCTAGGTTATCCAAAAGAAGGAAAATCACTTGATTAGGAATTTCTGCTTATGAATTAAATAACGTTTCTTGTTCTTCATACAGGACAAAATTTAAGATGACTTTTTATATAATCTATTTATATTCCAAAGAAATAAGTAAAAACAACTAAATATCAGGATTTTACCTTTTAAATACCCAGAAAAATATGAAGGTTCACCCCTGCTCTCAAGAGTATCTAGCATATTAGAAATACATTCAACCCAATTCAGCGGATCAGTAGAGCAGGAGTAGACTGAACGTGCTTTCTAGTGCACGACCCATGCCAATCCTCCACCGTCCCTATAAACCATCATGTACTGCGTTGGTTTTTTTTGTTTGGTTGGTTTTTTTAAATTAAAGCACTATGCTGGTGACAAATGCCTCACAAAAGTGGGTGAATCACTGACCTGGCGGGAAACATCTGCACCACAGTGGTCAGTCCCCAGAAGCCCAGGGAAAGCTCTCCCTGCGCATTGCCCAGGAACTACTGTTTTCCTTCACACCTACCGACAGAAAGAAAAGAGGACAAGGAGAGGGGCCCTGGCCCTCAGGCCTGTGATCACTGGGCTACGAAGATTCCTGTCCCCCAGCCTTAAGGAAGCAGATGTAAATGATGGCCACTAAAGTCGGATTCTGTCTGCTGGCAAAACACTGTTGAAACAAAACGTGGGCTTAGAGCCATTCCCCCTCCACCACCCTACTCCTGAGCTATGCAACCCCCCCATATCATCTTATATCAACGCAGATCCTTTAAATTACTAATATCACCAAGCATAGCCATGGCTACTAATTTCAGAAGCATCTTCAGCATTGCATTGAAAATGCAAGGTTTATGTCCTTCTCTTTCACGGGAGTCAAAAGCCAACTCCCACATCTATAGGTCAAGTATTTGCCACACGGGATGGAGGAACCTGGAAATAATACAAGGATTTAATTTCAGGCTCCTCTTGCACTTGCTGATTCAATATTAATATGATAAAATGAAGAACAGATATTTTGACTAGAGTTATTTTGGTTATAAAGTCTTCGCTTGCAACTTTCTTAAACCTGTAAAACGCTACTGGTAGCAGCAATGAACAAATCACTTGAAATCTGAAACCTATATCCCTATTTTCCATCATTTATCCTCTACTTCCATCTTCAGAGCAGCGGGATGGGCGTTTCCTATGCCAACAGCGTCACGGACTTGAACAGAAAAACACACTGGAACACCTCCGTGAAAAAGCAGAGCTGAAAAACATCTCAATGGAAAACATCTCAGTGAAATAAAGGCTGAGTACACCTGAGTAATTTCCCTAGCTGACCAAAAAAAGAAAAGGGAAAACCCACACACACACTTTGCACAAGCCAGACATTGTGTTCCTTAGCTCCTTTTACAAACATTTTCCGTAACAGGAAGATATTTTTAAAGATCCAACAACTTTAAGGAACTAGGATTGACTTCACCTATTTTTCTGCCACACGGTCCTAGCTTCCTTACCTACAAGTAAAGACACATCAGGAAACAGGCTGAGAACTACTCACTTCACCAGCGCAAGGGTCCACACGCACCCCCTACACCGCGACTGTGATTCAGCTGACACGCAACTTGCCAAACACAATAACCAAGTTTCTTTTAATGGGAGGGCTGTGATGAATGTCCTAGTTTATCACAGAAGAACTTTCAGCAAATATAAGATTACACTTTGATGCATCAGTTCCAGTCTGGCTCGTTTCCATGATGCAGATCATCATGCAATCGAACAAATGCTTGGATCAGCCCTAGAGTTAAGACAAGACAGAAGAGAGGGCAGGGAGAGCAGACCCCTCCTGGCAGAGCCTGAAATTACAGCATCAGCAAGACCTTGAGAGATAATTAGGATTGATTTTTAAGTCAAATAACAGTGTGAGAACGCTGGGCTGGCATTGCAAAACTGCTATTTCGTAACTGTTTCCTACTGCACTAATTCCTGC